GCTTTAATTCCCGTCCTAGTAAATTTTCAATGGATTAACTTTCGAAAATTATTTTTCTTTTGACAAAATCAATTATAGGCCAAAACCAACCATATAACAGTTAATTGAACAGGTATCGCAGCCATCTCATAGTGCGTTACGTAGGGTTTAAGTAACCAGCTGTATCACTGTCTCCTTCTCACTCTTCATACATGCGCCCAAAAAAAAGTTTTCATGCAAGAGAGCAAATCATTTTTTAATAGTATTCTGGATGTGAAACACTTTTCTTGATTCGTCATGGTTCCCCAACCGAATCGTTCTCTCCTTCTTCTCAGTTTCCTTTTCGCATAAAATTGATGTAGTTTTCCGCCTTCCCAATACTTCATTTTATAAATAGAATGTGTGAACGAAAGGAGAAGAAAAAACAACGACAAAAAAAAACAAATCAATAAATGTTGAAAATCAAAAAAAAAGAAAAAAATAAAAAAAAAGAGTTTTACGTTTGTATAGAATTTATACTTTGCAGATAAACTGCAAGAGCACCTATGCTAATATGTGTATTAACTTACACATGAATATACATACGTAAGCATTTGTGTGTCATAGCGTCTATCATAGCAATCGCTGACTGTTGCTAAGAACATAATAAGCAGTAATAACAATTTTAAAATAAGCTCAAAAGAGAATATACTTTAGTAGGCAACGAGGAAATATTTGTGTAACAAAAAAAAAATCTAGAAAAATCCGGAAAATGGAAAGAAAAGTCGGGAAGAAATTGTGAATGGTCGACTTTGAAGGGACGCTGGAGCCAGCGCAGACAGGCGTTAGGCTATGTTCTTGTTCAATCTGATCTTTGATTTCTTGGTGCTTTGTACACGTCTGTATCTCTGAACCTCTATGCTCCCTGTGCTCATTGTGGTGTGCAAAATGTATGTTTAGTTGTTGTGGGTTTTGCTGCCTGTTTACGTAACGGGGTTTCACCCGGATATTGCCACTCGCGCTACGGGGCAACCAGGCAGCCGGCATACGCTAGTATCGGCTGGGAGGCCATCATCGCCCGATATATGTTTGCGTTTTTTCGGTTGGCAGAAATGACCCGAAATGCAATGCAGAGATGCATATGTGCGTAGAAAGACAGGTGTAACGTGTTAAGTGTGGTAACGATTTGTGAGATGTGTGTTCTGAGTCTGAGACAACAAAATGACCATTTGAAAGTACCGCAAATTAAGGCCAGATAAATTTTCTTTATAGACAAATGCATTTAAGGTTGATAATTTTTGTTTTCGTTTGTTTTATTGATATTCTTTTATGAACACAAGGTAACTATGTGTACTGTACATATAACATCTTCAACGGCTGCTGGCAATACTTCACCGTCAATGAGTGACTACTGTACGGTTGGCAGGAATAATAAGGCTTGAGAGCAATGATAAATATTCTGGTTATCTTCGAAGTGCTACTTATGTATGAATGAATGTTTATGCAAATTCCGTAGCAACAGTTTTTTGAAGCTGGTTTTACTGTTATATGAATGAAGTCTGTAAGCGTCATTTCGGGGTTTTTTTGAAATAAGCACTGTTGAATAGCTTTTGAATAGCTTATACCACTGGGTACCGTTAGTGTAGCAGCAAAAAAAAAAAAAAAAAAAA